TGGTTCAATGATTTTTGGCAGAGTTATGCCCCTTTCACTTTGAAAATAATATGAATTTTTCAGTTTCCGTTCATTATCTCCCCAATCGTACAACAATTAAGCTCAAACTTGACATATCGATATGTCTAAGGAATGCGCAGGTCAAGTTCAAATTTGGTCATGGTTCAATGATTTTTGGCAGAGTTTATGCCCCTTTTACTTTGAAAATAATATGAAATTTTTCAGTTTCTGTTTATTATCTCCCCAACAGTATTAAACATTCAACTCAAATTTGACATATTGATACGTCAAAGAAATGCGCAGGTCAATTTCAAATTTGGTCATGGTTCGATGATTTTTGGCAGAGTTATGCCCCTTTCACTTTTAAAAATAATATGAAATTTTCAGTTTCCGTTTATTATCTCCCAAACAATATTACACATTCAACTCAAAATTTGACATATGGATATGATTTTGGAATGCGCAGACCAAGTTCGAATCTGGTCATGGTTCAATGATTTTTGGCAGAGAAATGCCCCTTTCACTTTGAAAATGATATGAAATTTACAGTTTCTGTTTATTATCAACCCAACAGTGTTACATATTCAACTCAAAATTGACATATGGATATGTCAAAGGAATGCGCAGGTCAAGTTGGAATTTGGTCATGGTTCGATGATTTTTTGGCAGAGTTATGTCCCTTTCACTTAAATAATATAGATACATCTTAGGAATAAGCAGTTTAAGTTTGAATTTGGTCGTGGTTCAATGATTTTAGACAAACTTATCTTTCCTGAATGTTGGAAAAAATTTTAACTTTCAGTTTCAGCACTCATACTTTTGTGGAAATGTATATAGCCATTATGTTGGCTACAAATATGCAATATGCTATTTTTAAAAGGTTAAGACTGAATTATAATTTCAGTGCCTTGAACATTACATATAAAAATGGTTTGTGTTAACATTGAAAAGTTTTAAGGGCTTTGAACTTAGAATGAAAAAAATAATTTGTGCAAACAAATTTGGAACTAAATATTATAACATTTGAAATTTTGGCTGCATGCGGGGGCATCCGTGGCATGATGACACATTTCTAGTTTTTTATAGTTTTATACTATAAATATTTCAGATCTATATTAAGCTGGTAAAAATATAATGTTATATTAAATAAATTGTCAAAAGATCTGTTTTAACTAACATGTAGGGGTGGTCGCTATACGTTTCTGTAGAAAACATTTCGGTATATGAGACAGGGTGCCTTGATATTATTATTACCAAATTGCATATCAGTTGTTCCAAAAATGTATGCATTTTTTTGATGTCCCGGATACTTTATAATATATTAATACCTACATATTCTACTTATTGAAAAAGTTGTTAAGTCATGATTTTATGTTGATCGATTCATAATCATTTTAAATTTCATATCTGTAAACAGCATACATTTATGGAATGACTGATATATAATTATTTATATGATGGAAAAAAAAGGAACACTTTATACTGACAAATTTCAATTATGAAATGTTGTAACTTGTGCGATATGACATGTTGTTTATTACTGTATATGTAAGGTGTGAAGTAATTAAGACAGGAGGTACAGTTGACATACAATGTATGTTAAAGATAAAAGATTATAATGAACCATCGATTTATTTCGCAATAAACATTTAAATAAATACTAAAATATAAAAATATTATAATAAAGAGTCCCCATAACATATGATAGCGATTTGTTAATATATAGTTTAACTGTTCAATAAAAGAAAGAGACAAACTTTCCGATTTCCAATTTTACTGCCTCATACATTATACAATGTTTATGGAAATTTTTTTAGAGCAGTTGAATTATACATCTGTATCCAAATCATAAAACATAAACATGTACAAAATTTATAATTAGATTTAACTCATATTACAGAGTATTATATTTTTCCATCATAGCTTTTTAAAAATACGATTTGATTAGAAAATTATTATGCACGATAATCACGTGCAGATTTATCACATGCTTGTAATAAATGGTTGCTGAACATACATAATTTGGGTACCAAATATCTCTAAACCTGCAATATATTTTATTGCATAATGACTTAAAGTGAATCAAACCCTGTTCGAAAGTATTAAAATCATTTCATAGGTTAGAGAAAAAAATCTTACTTCGTTCATTAATATTGTACCGTGTTAAATGAATATATATCTTTTTTTTTCATATTCATGTTCCATATTCTATTAATAATTGGTGGAAATAGAAGATAATGTTCTGTTCGTTATAAATATCGGCAAGTTCTTATGTGCCGGAATAACATTTATTTTATTGTTGTTTCCTTGTCTATAAATGCTTTACACGCATCATTGTTCTTTTAAACTCAAATAATGTACAATAATTAAACATAAGTTAACATTTTATTTACCCCTGTTCGTGCCTGTATATTGAAATTATAGCACGTGTATTTAAGCATCAGTGAGAGCGCACGTTTAGTATTTATTTAGTTATTTATTTATTTATTTATTTGTTTATTTATTACAATGTTACTTAAAAAAAAAAAAAGAAAAAGAAAAGAAAAAAAGATGGGCCATGAAGAGAGCGCCTCCCCGTGGTGTGGCCTGGATGCACTGAACAGATATTACACGCGATATCTATTCTGTTGCAACTGAACGCTATCATCAATGCAGTCGGGTTTTCTTAAATTTCAAAAACATAAATTATCTTAAATAATCACTATATATGTATTATACATGTACTCATATACATAATTTAAACTTAACAGCTGATTACGGTAATGCTAAACATTTAGAACAAAGGGAAGTAACTCAATAATTACATTTTTGTTAATAACATCATTAAAATAAAATATTTTCAAAAGATTTTTTAACTGAAAGCCTATTACACTAATTGTCATCAAATAATGAAGAAATAATAGCAATATTTTAACTAGGTTGGTTTTTACGAGTTGATTTCGGTAATGAAAAGTTGATTTCGGTAACTTTACCGAAATCAAGTTGATTTCGGTATCGTAACGTACCCTATCACAACACCGCATTGGCACAGTTTTGTCATGTGCTCAGAGTGACCTCCCTTCCAGAAAAGACGTCGGAACGAGCGAAAAAATGACAGACAACTAATAATACCGGATAAATTGAATGAGGAAATCGTGCATTGAATTGAGTCTGAGTAAATAGCAAATGTCATCGTTTGTAGTCGAAATAAAATCGTGAAACGTAGTGGACTATACATTACAGAACCGAGCCTTTCATTGCTGCATCTGATGCTTCATAAAATACATGTAGTACCCTATTAAATATGGCCTTCCGACAAATAAAAAAAAAAATTCAAGATCTCTAAAAACTTTATTGAATTTGAAATCGGGTAGTGTGAAAACTAATTGCTGCAATAAAACTCATTGCATGAAAATTATCTTGCTGATGATTTGAAAGTATGTTCAGCAGGAGATGTGTATGAACATATTAACAATATAAGACAATATGCTTTGTTTCATGGTCAAAATGACCTGTTGATAGTATTATGAGTGTAGATCACATTTGTACACAAATTTCTACTAAAAAAAACAAACACATATTGATAACTTTTTTAAAAGAAAGGCATAAATGTAAAATGAAACTGTAATACATACATAATATTGTACAGTTTTTGTTTTTATAAAAAGATGTTATTATATCTATGACTTGTAATATAAAAAAGTCTCGAATTTTCAAGAATTCTATTGAGAGACCACTTTTTGGCAGTCCCTTGAGTGGTCTCTTAATACAATGTCGACTGTAGATGAATTTTCTTTGTTCCTTTGGCTTTGTTGGCAATTGGTATAATTATGGTGAATTAGTATTTTGTATGGAAGTAAAAAATACTACATTGTTTACATTTTGCTTCCTTTATGACACTTAAGTACATAATTATTCAGGCTATCCCCATCTAACGTACCTAAATCCATTATCAAAATATTATCAAACAAATGTTTGACATTTCTGTAGAATTTAATAACTATGGATTTCTGAGGCATAATGTGCCTTTAATTATAGTCTCAGGAATTATCATAAAAATTTTATTTATTTACTTATCAAACTCTTTCTTTGAATGCCTTATTAAGCCATATAAAGTATAAAGCCTGAACAAATTGTAAACTTGTAGTGTCTAGTCCATTGTATTTTTAAAATTGCTTTTGCTAATGGTTATTAAAATGGCTGTGTAAATAACTATATACATGTTTCCAACACGTAATATGAACGTTAGTCAAATGTTGTAAGTAATTTGTATGCCAGGAATATTTGGGGGAGGATATAAAAAGTTTATAAAGTAAGTGTTTGGCTTTACTTTGTTACTTTGGTTTGGTTTTTCTAACACACTAATATATGTATACTTACATTATGTTATTTATAGCACCTTCATTTGAGCCGTGTCATGACAAAACCAACATAATAATAATAAGGAAATTGAATGGATAAGGAAATTGAATGGATCCAGACCAGCCTGCGCATCCGCGCAGTCTGATCAGGATCCATGCTGTTCGCTTACCAACTCTATAACAAGTAGAGAAACTGATAGCAAACAGCATGGATCCTGATCAGACTGCGCGGATGCGCAGGCTGGTCTGGATCCATTCAATTTCCTTATCCAGCATTATGTTGGTTTTGTGGTGACGTGGCTCATTTATTGATCTAAGCTTGATCTCTACCTTTATATTAAGATTATTGGGGTTTCCAAAGATCACTCAGAGTGAAAATTATTTTTCTTAACTTTTCCTCATGACAATTGTATTCTTAGATGCGTCAAAGCAGTAACCAACCTTATTTGAGCTTTTTGTTCTAACTTTTAATTACCTGATTTAGATATCATAGTCATTATCAAGGCCTAAGTAATTTAATGTATCAATGATTTACATGAGATGCAGGAGTAATGGGGAGTTTTATTAACTGTTAAACTATTAGTTGCATTATATGAGCCACGTCACGACTAAACCAGCATAGTGCGTTTGCAAACAGCATGGATCCAGACCAGCCTGTGCATCCGTGCAGCCTAATCAGGATCCATGCTGTTCGCTATCAGTTTCTCTACTAATACGGTTGGTAAGCAAACAGCATGGATCCTGATCAGACTGCGCGGATGCGCAGGCTGGTCTGGATCCATGCTGGTCGCAACGCACTATGTTGGTTTTGGCGTGACGCGGCTTTTATATTATCACAGATTGCTTGTAAAAATTACTGTGCCCTATACTTTACAAGGCAATCCTGCACATAAGCGTTAAATTATATCAGATATTTTATTAAGTAAAAGCTCTCATATTGTGCAAAATTACGGAGAGAAAAAAAAATTCTTATCTTTAAATGAATAAAAAAAAGAAATCTTTTATTTTTAAGGTATATAGATTTGATAAAAAGAAATGATTATTAGATATTTGTTGCTTCACACTATTATGTCCTACTTTAAGTATAGGAATCAAGATTTAGTAAGTAGTAAGTAAGTAACAACTTTATTTAATGAGGCTAACACATTCAGTTTCCTGATCTTCCATGCGGGCCTCAGTTAATTTTCTTTTTTCAACAACAGTAATTCTGTTTTTGAAACAGGGACCAAGATGCAGCGAATTCGGAGAGGTTTACGTACAAATGGCATCAGCGGTTACAAGATCTCGAACTCACCACGTCGGCTATCACTCCTAATATGCAGACAACTGTAAATATAGGGAGTACAAGCTCAACTATTATGTCCCCTAAAACAGGTACGTACACAAGAATTTTGTGTTGGGAGTTATTTATTGAACATATTTCGCAGTTAACAAGAAAAATTCCATATAAATTTCAACCATTTTAAGAAACATTTTAAGAAAAATCACTGTCATGATTAAATGAAAATTTAAGGATGTCCACCACCCAGTGGTAAAAAATGTTGCCCCTCACTGCTGTGGGTTTGAATTATGGCAGGGAGTTTGGATTCTAATTTCTGTCAAGCTAGAGTATGAAATGTCGAAGATTATACTCACCTAGTTGTCTGTTTGGCCTCAGATAATGCACAGACAAGCACCTGAGGTCTTCGTCCACCAGTAAAGCTAGAAATTTGCCATATGATATCTGCTCTGTTGGGGCTATATAACTCCAACCCCACCCACCCACCTTTGAAAAAAAAAAAAGAGAAAAATTATGGCTTTAGATTGAATATATATTGAATTTATTTTTGTAATTCTCTAACAATGGCCAGTGACAATTAGGTCAGGCCAGTGAAAATTTTAAGAAAATTTAGTTAACCCATTACTTCATATACACGCCTTTTAACGCCTTTTTCACCCCCCCCCCCCCTTTTTGTTGTCTGAAATGATGAAAAAATGCCTTATTTAGGCCCCAAACACTTGTTTTTGTTTGAGAAATGTTGTTAAAAAAAGTGACCTCTTTTTCGGCGCGGCCCCCCAACCAAAAGATACATCAGGGGGTTGCCAGAAGGGGGATGTGCCCCCTTCTGTTTGGGGGGTTTGAAGGGGGGCGGAGTCCCCCTCATCGCCAAGAAAATTTTGGACTTGTGAGAGGCTGTAAATGACCCCAGATTGATCATAAGGTAACGTGTAACCAACGCTGAAAAGCATTTGACTCTATCTCAATCCATTGAGAAGTTGCAGCACTTTGAAATCAATTTTGATGGAAAAAATCAACGCAAAATAGTGATTTTTGGCAATTTTGAGATGTCCCCTCGTTGCCATGGTAACAGAAAATTTAAGCCTGAGCATGTTGTTGCAAGGCAATGGTCCAGTCAACATTTTTGCCAAGTTTGATTAGTGTTGAAGCAGTTTTTATAGTATTATAGCAATTTGAACTTGTAACGGGAGACTTTTCAATGTAAAAAGCCATTTTTCACAAAATGCTCATGAAGTAATGGGTTAATGAAAAAAATAAAAAAATCTACAAAACAACAATTTTTCTTCAAATTTATATGACAGGCCATGTTTAAATATGAAAAAACGCGATTTAGGGTAATTTCAAGTATTTTCATCATTTTCTGTTAACCCATTACTTCATATACACGCCTTTTAACGCCTTTTTCACCCCCCCCCTTTTTGTTGTCTGAAATGATGAAAAAATGCCTTATTTAGGCCCCAAACACTTGTTTTTTGTTTGAGAAATGTTGTTAAAAAAAGTGACCTCTTTTTCGGCGCGGCCCCCCAACCAAAAGATACATCAGGGGGTTGCCAGAAGGGGGATGTGCCCCCTTCTGTTTGGGGGTTTGAAGGGGGCGGCAGTCCCCCTCATCGCCAAGAACATTTTGGACTTATGAGAGGCTAAAAATGACCCCAGATTGATCATAAGGTAACGTGTAACCAACGCTGAAAAGCATTTGACTCTATCTCAATCCATTGAGATGTTGCAGCACTTTGAAATCAATTTTGATGGAAAAATCAACGCAAAGAAGTGATTTTTGGCAATTTTGAGATTTCCCCTCGTTGCCATGGTAACAGAAAATGTTGTTGCAAAGGCAATAGTCCAGTCAACATTTGTGCCAAGTTTGATTAGTATTGAAGCAGTTTTTATAGTATTAGAGCAATTTGAACTTGTAACGGGAGACTTTTCAGTGAAAACAGCCATTTTCCACAAAATGCTCATGAAGAAATGGGTTAATGAAAAAAAATAAAAAAATCTACAAAACAACAATTTTTCTTCAAATTTATATGACAGGCGATGTTTAAACATGAAAAAACGCGATTTAGGGTAATTTCAAGTATTTTCATCATTTTCTGTTAACCCATTACTTCATATACACGCCTTTTAACGCCTTTTTCACCCCCCCCCCTTTTTGTTGTCTGAAATGATGAAAAAATGCCTTATTTAGGCCCCAAACACTTGTTTTTGTTTGAGAAATGTTGTTAAAAAAAGTGACCTCTTTTTCGGCGCGGCCCCCCAACCAAAAGATACATCAGGGGGTTGCCAGAAGGGGGATGCCCCCTTCTGTTTGGGGGGTTTGAAGGGGGGCGGAGTCCCCCTCATCGCCAAGAAAATTTTGGACTTGTGAGAGGCTGTAAATGACCCCAGATTGATCATAAGGTAACGTGTAACCAACGCTGAAAAGCATTTGACTCTATCTCAATCCATTGAGAAGTTGCAGCACTTTGAAATCAATTTTGATGGAAAAAATCAACGCAAAATAGTGATTTTTGGCAATTTTGAGATGTCCCCTCGTTGCCATGGTAACAGAAAATTTAAGCCTGAGCATGTTGTTGCAAGGGCAATGGTCCAGTCAACATTTGTGCCAAGTTTGATTAGTGTTGAAGCAGTTTTTATAGTATTATAGCAATTTGAACTTGTAACGGGAGACTTTTCAATGAAAAACAGCCATTTTTCACAAAATGCTCATGAAGCAATGGTTAATGAAAAAAATAAAAAAATCTACAAAACAACAATTTTTCTTCAAATTTATATGACAGGCGATGTTTGAACATGAAAAAAACGCGATTTAGGGTAATTTCAAGTATTTTCATCATTTTCTGTTAACCCATTACTTCATATACACGCCTTTTAACGCCTTTTTCACCCCCCCCCCCTTTTTGTTGTCTGAAATGATGAAAAAATGCCTTATTTAGGCCCCAAACACTTGTTTTTGTTTGAGAAATGTTGTTAAAAAAAGTGACCTCTTTTTCGGCGCGGCCCCCCAACCAAAAGATACATCAGGGGGTTGCCAGAAGGGGGATGTGCCCCCTTCTGTTTGGGGGGTTTGAAGGGGGGCGGAGTCCCCCTCATCGCCAAGAAAATTTTGGACTTGTGAGAGGCTGTAAATGACCCCAGATTGATCATAAGGTAACGTGTAACCAACGCTGAAAAGCATTTGACTCTATCTCAATCCATTGAGAAGTTGCAGCACTTTGAAATCAATTTTGATGGAAAAAATCAACGCAAAATAGTGATTTTTGGCAATTTTGAGATGTCCCCTCGTTGCCATGGTAACAGAAAATTTAAGCCTGAGCATGTTGTTGCAAGGGCAATGGTCCAGTCAACATTTGTGCCAAGTTTGATTAGTGTTGAAGCAGTTTTTATAGTATTATAGCAATTTGAACTTGTAACGGGAGACTTTTCAATGAAAACAGCCATTTTTCACAAAATGCTCATGAAGCAATGGGTTAAATATATAGTAGAAACTATATTAGTAGAATAAATTCAAAACTGAAATTCAAAATCTTAAACTCATTGACTGTAAACTGGTGCCAATCTTTTTTTCAGTTCCACTAGGTTAACAGTTAAAATGAAGTTTTAACACTGAATTATTTTGTTATACCGGTTTTTATTTAAAAATTTTTACATTAAAGCAACAGCAATGCAGGTAATTTACATGATATTATATTTGAGCCGTGTCATGACAAAACCAACATAGTGGGTTTGGGACCAGCATGGATCCAGACCAGTCTGCACATCCACGCAGTCTGATCAGGATCCATGCTGTTCCCTTACAAACTCTATAACAAGTAGAGAAACTGATAGCGAACAGCATGGATCCTGATCAGACTGCGCGGATGCGCAGGCTAGTCTGGATCCATGCTGGTCGGAAACCCATTATGTTGGTTTTGTCATGACAAGGCTCATTTTATTTCCCAATAGCATGACAACATCACTTAACATAGTCTAGTACAGGATCAATCTGGTTTTACAATCCTATCTATATTAAAAGTAAAGAGACTTACATTATATTAGTAGAGCATGCATATAATTATGTTTAGTATCATGTTATTTATAAGCCTCTTTCCCAGAAATGGGGATATATTGCTTTGCCCATTGACCAAACCCGTTGTCTTATCAATATGTAGAGAATGCTTTAGCCTGAAGTCCTTCTTTTTTGGAAGTTGGTCATTTAATGTAGATAAACCTTTGATATAAACTGGGTTAAAGGTCAAGGTTATAACATTCACATTGTCGTTCAGTATTAAGAGAATTTTTTTTTTTTTTTGGTTCAAACATCAAATTTGATACAGATACTGGTCATGATTTGAAGATGACCTATAGCACATTGATCTTGAGGTCAGTATTTTATAAGTTCAAGGTCACATTGATAATCGCAAACTCTTCAGAAAACGTGATTAACTTGTTGACGTCAGTGGACATGCATGCTTCTCATCAATGTCTTGTTATTTTAGTGGGGGCAGAGTCACTAATGTCGTGTTATTTTAGAGAGGCCAAAGTCATCAATGTCTTGTTATTTTAGAGAGGTCAAAGTCATCAATGTCTTGTTATTTTAAAGAGGTAGAGTCATCAATGCCTTGTTATTTTAGAGAGGTCAGAGTTATCAATGTCCTATTATTTTAGAGAGGTCGGAAGAGGATCCATATGATGTAGCGTCAGAACTTACAGACATGATGCATGACATATCAGTGCTAGCAAAGATAAACCAGATGGTCTCTACCCTAAAACTTTCCTATCCAGTAAGTTAAAACCTATTACGCAAGTATCCTGTAAGTTCTATCATATTATGTTAGTAACCTGTAAGTTATAGCCTGTTATGTAAGTAACCTGTAAGTTATAGCCTGTTATGTAGTATCCTGTAAGTTATATCCTGTAATGTTAGTTTCCTGTAAGTTATATCCTATTATGTTAGTTTCCTGTAAATTATATCATGTTATGTTAGTATCCTGTAAGTTATATCCTGTTATGTTTATTCCTGTAAGTAATATCCTGTTATGTTAGTATCCTGTAAGTTATATCCTGTTATGTTAGTTTCCTGTAAGTTATATCATGTTATTTAAGTATCCTGTAAGTTATATCCTGTTATGTTAGTATCCTGTAAGTAATATCCTGTTATGTTAGTATCCTGTAAGTTATATCCTGTTATCCTGTTATGTTAGTTTCCTGTCAGTTATATCATGTTATTTAAGTATCCTGTAAGTTATAGCCTGTTATGTTAGTATCCTGTAAGTAATATCCTGTTATGTTAGTATCCTGTAAGTAATATCCTGTTATGTTAGTATCCTGTAAGCTATATTCTGTTATGTAAGTATCCTTTAAGTTATATCCTGTTATGTTAGTTTCCTGTAAGTAATATCATGTTATTTTAGTATCCAGTAAGATATATCCTGTAATGTTATTATCCTGTGATTTATAAAATTTTATGTAATATTCTATAATTATTCATTTTAAAATTTTAAGTACCTTTAATTATTCATTTTACTTAGTTTTCCCCTGAAAGTAATTTTTTTGGTTTTTATGTTATATCCTTAATTAAAATTTTGAGGTTTAAATTTTGACCCAAAGTAAGGAATGTCCGGGAATTTTAAAATTTTATCCTGTAACTATATAAGTTTTTTATACCCCTGTTAAAAAAATCCGAAAAAATTTAAACCCTGTGTTCCTCTATCCTTTTAAAAATTTTTAAGTATCCTTTTAATTTTATAATTTCCTTGGGTTTTTTTTGTTTGGGTATCCTGAAAAGGGTTTTTTTTTTAAAATTTTTATTTAACCCTCTTATTTTCTATAAATATTATGTTAGTCCCCTTAAAAGATGTATGATTTTAAATGAAAATTTATCCTGAAAATTTTGTACCCATGATATGTTAGTAACCTGTAAGTTCTATCATGTTATGTTAGTAACCTGTAATGTAAGTAAGTATAACCTGTAAGTTATATCCTGTGATGTTAGTATCCTGTAAGTTATATCCTGTTATGTTAGTATCCTGTAAGTTATATCCTGATATGTTAGTATCTTGTAAGTTATACCCTGTTATGTTAGTATCCTGTAAGTTATACCCTGTTATGTTAGTATCCTGTAAGTTATACCCTGTTATGTTAGTATCCTGTAAGTTATACCCTGTTATGTTAGTATCCTGTTAGTTATATCCTGTTATGTTAGTATCCTGTAAGTTATATCATGTTATATTAGTATCCTGTAAGTAATATCCTGTTATGTTAGTATCCTGTAAGTTCTTTAATGTTATGTAAGTATCCTGTAAGTTGTATCCTGTTATGTTAGTATCCTGTAAGTTCTTAAATGTTATGTTAGTAACCTCTAAATTCTATCATATTATGTTAGTAACCCTTAAGATGTATGATGTTATGTAAGTAACCTGTAAGTTATACCCTGTTATGTTAGTATCCTAATTCCTTTAAATTATTCTGTTATTTTAGTATCCTGTAAGTTATATCATGTTGTTTTAGTATCCTGTAAGTTTTATCCTGTTATATTAGTATCCTGCAAGTTATATCCTATTATATCAGTTTCCAGATGAGTGTTAATTATAATCTGTAAATCCTATTTCTAAGGTTCATAAACTTTCCAGGGTCTGTGTAAGATCAGATAGTATGAAACAGAATTGTTTGTATATATATATTTGAGCATATTATGCTTAAGGTAAGCTGTTGGCATCACCCTGTGTCCATTATCCTTTTTTGTCTTTTTTCAACTTTTTTTGAGATTTATTGTTTATTTTTTCACAAATTATAGTTTATTTTTAAAAGCATTCATTAAACGTTTTAAAAATCATAATGTTTGATTATTCTAAAATGTATATATTTAATTATATATTGTAACATTCATAATTTGATAAACAATATGATTTAACAAGTGTTAGATATTTTAGAAACTAATTTTTTGTTTCTCAGTTGTTATAATAGGTATGGAAAAGTACCAAAATTTGCTGAACTTTATTAAATCTATTAATGGACAGGGTTCATACAGACCTGGAAAATTAATAATGGAAAATGAATTTTGACTCGAAAAATCATGGAATCTTGGTAAAGGGAATTTTATCATGTTATGCATCAAATTGTTATGGAATCAAGAAAAGATAACTCTTTGATTATTTTTCCATACTGGTGGTTATATTACTTCCCTTTACTTGTCATATGTAAATTGCTATGTAGTGCAATCTACTCGGTCTCTCTGATATCTGCCTTCTTACTTGAATGAATAGGACCGATTTTAATGCTTACCTATATGGTAATTATTGTAGTGGGAGGGTAAACAAACCTTAAGACACAGTTCTAGAAGTAGCATTTAATCATTTGATGCCAAGGAAGATGTAACCAAAGGCTTAAACTCTAGACATTGAAACTTAAATCTACTGTTAAGGTATCATGAAAAGTTTTATAGAATGATTGAAAAGACATGGAAATTTGGTTCCAGAACTTTGTATGAACCCTGATGGATCAAGTTCGGTAATTAAGAATGAATGACTATTTAATTGACTTTATGTGTCTACATTAATTTAATTCAGGGTTTGACAGAAGATAATTTACATAGCATAATTGCAAAGCTTCTGATAATAAGAAAGAGATACAGAGTAAAGACTATCAACTTCAGATGTTAAACTCTAGTACTATAATACTTCAGGATAAAGTCAGGTAAATATACAAAAAGGTTTTAGAAAGAGCATCAAAATGGGAGGCTATCTGATTTGTACGATAGGGCAAATCCCCACCCTCAGTATAAATAAGATTGCCAAGTGTTTTGATGTTCTTCATCTGTTATATCATAGACAAAAATAAAAAGTAATCATACTGTAGGGAAAACAAGAAATTGCAGAAATCAGCCACCATAAAGCATGTGTATATGTTTTAGCTCTAACACATTTTCAAAAGAAATGTCACCAAACTATGATACAATGATAACCTTGTGGGCCGAGATATTTGGTATCAATAAAAACCTTGTGGGTTGAGATATTTGATATCAATGATAACCTTGAGGGCCGAGATATTTGGTTTAGAAATAATGCTTTTAAAATGATAACCTTGTGGTCCAAGATATTTGGTATCAATGATAACCTTGTGGTCCAAGATATTTGGCTTACAAATAATGCTTTTAAAATGATAACCTTGTGGTCCAAGATATTTGGTATTTATGATAAGCTCATGGTCCAAGTTATTTGGTATGAATGATAACCTTATGGTTCAAGATATTTGGTTTCAATGTCAACCTCCTGGTCCAAAATATTTGGTATAAATGTTAAACTCGTGGTCCAGGATATTTGGTATCAATAATAACCTTGTGTTTCTTTGATATCTGGTGTAAATGTTAACCTTGTGGTCCATGATATTTGGTACCAATGTTAACCTCCTGGTCTAAGATATTTGGTATGTATGATGAGCTTGTGGTCAAAGATATTTGGTATAAATGTTAACTTCGTGGTCCAAGATATTTGGTATCTATGTTAACCTCATGTTCCAAGATATTTGATATCAATGTTAACCTCATGGTCCAAGATATTTGTTTTACAAATAATGCTTTTTAAATGATAACCTTGTGGTCCAAGATATTTGGTATTTATGATAAGCTCATGGTCCAAGATATATGGTATATATGATAACCTTGTGGTCCAAGATATTTGGTATCAATGATATAACGTTGTGGTAAAAAAAAATTGGTATGTAAGATAACCTTGTAGGCTGAGATATTTGGTATAAACGTTTACCTTGTGGTCCAAAATATTTGGTATGTATGATAACCTTGTAGGCTGAGATATTTGGTATAAATGTTTACCTTGTGGTCCAAAAAATTTGGTATGTAAGATAACCTTGTAGGCTGAGATATTTGGTATAAACGTTTAACTTGTGGTCCAAAATATTTGGTATGTAAGATAACCTTGTAGGCTGAGATATTTGGTATAAACGTTTACCTTGTGGTCCAAAATATTTGGTATGTATGATAACCTTGTGGTCCAAGATATTTGGTTTAAATGTTTACCATGTGGTCCAAGATATTTGGTATCAGTGATAACCTCATAGTCGAAGATATTTGGTATGGATTTTAATGTCCTGGTCCGAGCTATTTGGTATGTATGATTAACTTGTGGTACAAGATATTTGGTTTCAATGTTAACCTCATGGTCCAAGATATTTTGTGTGATTGATAATCTTGTTGTCTTATACAAAATGTTATTTATTATTCCTCTTTGGTAACTTGGGATAACTATTTTTATTATAGACTTTTATAAATAAGGTATTCATTTAGATACACCTATCTTGAGTTACATATGGCTTAGCTCATAATTTTATGCCTCAAGTTAGGTGGATATTTCATCATTCCTACCTTAGATTTATTAGATACCTAACTGTAATCACTTAATTTATCATTAGATATTTTATCCAAAGTTAGGTGAATATTATAGACATCATCATTTGATTTGAATGCAATCTGTTGATAAAACTCGTGAATTTCTTGCTTTTTTGTGATCATTAAATTAGCAAATAATGTTTCTTTTGCCTGATGAATGACGTTTGCTTGTTATCGGTGATCATGTCAATGACAGCTTGCCCTGCAAAAATGAGTTTCAAATGCTGACAATAATCAACCAAGTAATTGTACATTATGATCTCAAATGTATTGATTTCATATATGCAGGTTTCTGATATACATGTTGTTAAGCCAGATATAATGTACAAAATGCTAACATCTGGCTAAATAGGTTTTTTTTTTAGCCATATTCTAATCAAATTGTATTTTATAGAGAAAATGATGAAATATTCATATATAATAAAGTATACAATTTATTTAGTATATTTTGCATTGTTTTGGCAGTCTACATTTAATCTGAGAATAACATTTGAATTGAAGTTAAAATAAACATAGGTTGTCCCCGATAGCTAAAATTATAAGGAAGAGGATCAAAATTGTATCCAAGATTCCCTAGTGTGATCCTCTGTTGAGGCAGATTTTCTCTCTGACAACTGATCTCATGGCATCAAGTCATTTATGGCTATTTGTTTCTCACCGCTGATTAAGAAATGACGTGAGATAAGTAGTTGGTTACTAGCAAAGAAATAATTAATTACACGCTAGTTGACCAGGAATATTTCCAATTAAAAGTGGACAACTGCCAGGATCAAATAAAAAAATGTATATTTAGAGTGAAAGAAAAAGCAACAATTTTAATTTGATAATCTTTTGCAAAATAAACAACACTATTATCATCATGTTGTTGAGAAAATATAAAAAGCTATAGAAATCAGTGTGTGAAGAGTCTCTGGCATCCATTTCCGTGTTGTTATCCTTTTAGGAAAAAATAATCATGATAAATGTATAAATCTGTTTACAAAACTTTGATATTATTGCAGCTGTTGTTGAACATTCATAATGTATTTCTTGAGCCCATTTATTTGGCTGCAGCATTGTTCCCTTTGAAAACATTGTAAGAAATAAACTTAGGACTGATATTTAGGAAGCTGCAAATTTTGTTACAATTGACCTGGAGTTATTATCATCACATTTGTGAAAATGTTCATCATGTACAAAACCAAGATCAAAATCGATTGTAATATAATTATAACGTAACATCTGCCATTTCACTTGTGATATTATTTAGATACATGTTATACAATTATCTGTGAGGAGAAATTGCGTTTTAGATAAACAATTCAACATCAACATCATCTGTCGTTGATGAATAATCACATAAAACATAGAAGTTAATATATGAGCCGCATAACGACAAAACCAACGTAATGCATTTGTGACCAGTATGGATCCAGACCAGCCTGCGCATCCGCGCAGTCTGATCAGGATCCATGCTGTTCACTATCAGTTTCTCTACTTGTAATAGGGTTTGTAAGCAAACAGCATGGATCCTGATCAGACTGCACGGATGCGCAGGCTGGTCTGGATCCATGCTGGTCGCAAACGCATTACATTGGTTTTGTGGTGACGGGGCTCATATATATTATAGCTCATAACCATTTAAACCATCAAAATTTTTATAATTATCAAAACTTAATTGGGACCAGTCATTTAATGGTAGACAGAGCAAATACTGGAACAGCAATTCTTTATTCTGTTACTAAATTATAGCCCATAAGCATTTATATTTTAAATATTTTGATAATTATCATCCCTTGATAATTATTAAGAAGGTTGAAATTGAAATGGCAAAATCCATGTTGTCCATCCAGGCCATTTTTGTACTTGAGTCATTTAATGGTAGACAAAGCAAATAATTTATATACATACGTTCATCATGTACAAAAGCAAGATCAAAATCGATTGTAATATAATTAAAAAGTAACATCTGCATTACATTTCACTTAGATCATTGTACAATTCAGTGATATTATATAGATACATTTTATACATTTATCTGTGTGGAGAAATTGCGTTTTAAATTAACAATTCAACATCAACATCAACATCATTTTTTGCTTAGGGTTAGCTTTTAGGATATAAGTTGAATGTCTGTCGTCCGTCCACATTTGTTCGTTAACTCTCTAGCGGTCACATTTTTGCCTTAATCATCATCAAACTTTGTCAGGATGCTTGTCTTGGTAATTGCTCGGATGCGTTGGAACATGGGTCATCTCAGATGAAAAACTAAGTCACAGGATATAAAAACAGAAAAACCTTGTTAACACTCTAGTGGTCACATTTTTGACTCAATTGTCATCAAACTTGGTCAGCTTGCTTGTCTAGGTAATTGCTCAGATGAGTTCAAACATGGGTCATCTCGGATGAAAACTTAGGTCACAGGAGCTAAAAATACAAAAAACCTTGTTTACACTCTAGTGGTCACATTTTTGACTCAGTTATCATCAACCTTGGTCAGAATGCTTGTCTAGGTAATTGCTCAGATGAGTTCTCTAACATGGGTCATCTAAGATGAAAAACTAGATCACAGGAGTTAAAAATAGAAAAATCTTGTTAACACTCTAATGGCTACTGTTCAAATCCAAAATCCTTGTCCGCGTCCAGATTTCAGATTAAAGTTTTGGTGCAGTAAATATTTTTTCACTATAACATTGTCATTTCTTCAACTTTAAACTTCAAATATATGTTCCTTATCTTCAACCACATCTTATGTGACAAGGTTCATAACTCTAGCACCAATATTTTCAGATTTAGCTCCCCTTGAACGTAGAATTTTCCTTAATAAATACTATTTTTTACTGCCACTTCTTTATATCTTAAGGGATCAATTTCATACGTCAAATATATGTACCTTATCATCAACCACATCTTATGTGATAAGGTTTATAACTCTAGCACCAATATTTTCAGATTTATCTCCCCTCAAACTTAGAATTTTCCTCAATAAATACTATTTTTTACTGCCACTTCTTTATTTCTTAAGGGATCAACTTCATACTTCAAATATATGTACCTTATCATTAACCACATGTTACGTCGTAAGGTTTATAACTCTAGCACCAATATTGAGCTGTAAACTTGGGATAACTATTTTTATTATAGACTTTTATAATTAAGGAAATTCATTTAGATACACCTATCTAGAGTTACATATGGTTAGCTCATAATTTTATGCCTCAAGTTAGGTGGATATTTCATCATTCCTACCTTAGATTTATTAGATACCTAACTGTAATCACTTAATTTATCATTAGATATTTTATCCAAAGTT